TTAAATAAAAAATTTTTTTTACCTACCATCACCCATCATCATCACCCACTACAATCACCAACCACCACCTACCACCATCACCCACCATTAACTACCACCACCACCCATTTTAATTAAACGAATTTTAACAATTTTTGAAAAAAATAAATTTTCAAAAAAATTACATTTTAATCGGCCATTTTGAATCGGCCATTTTTAAATAAAATCACAATTTCTTAAAAAATAGTCACATAATTGATCTTTAAGATTAGCTCAGAAAGAAATCTATATCTTTATTTTTCTGGAAGATATGAATTTTTAAACATTAGGGAAAAGAGGCTTCAACGCAGGTAACGCGGCAATTTTAAGATAGGATTATATGTTATTTCGTAGAGTTTCTTAGTTGGTACATGTTGTCACGTGAATAATATATTAATATGACATTATATTTCTGCTATAAAGCATTAAATAATGCTGTATCATGCTTTGTGAAAAAATATAGTGGCAATAAATAAAACATATATAGTCTGCAATATTAGTATTCATGTAATGAATAAGAACTACTGGCGATAAAATACGAAGCTCTACAAATATCGATGAGATATATTTATATATATGCGAGATGTATTTATATATATATATATGAGATGTATTTATATATATATATATGAGATGTATTTATATATATGTATATTAGGGTGGGCCGAAAAAAAATTTTTTTTTTAATTGATTAGTATAATAACAATTTTAACTGATTGTGAGATTTTCTCAAAAACTTAATTCCTTATTTCCAAATTTGTATTGCAGTTGCGCTTTACATTCCGCTCTGTTTCTGATACTTTGTTATTGTAGTAAGCTAGAATTTTACAACGTTCTGTTTATAAAACTGTGATAACATTTGAAAATCAAATTTACAATTTAAATATAATTTTTTCAAACTTTTAATAGCTTGTGAAATTTAAGTATTATATTCATCAAAAAACGCAGAACGAAGAATCTTAATACAGACAAAATAATTCAGCCGTTCGCTAACGCAAAGTCGAGAAGAAAGCTATATAACACGATCATGCCATTTTTCTTTCTCGAAACTAAAAATTATTTATTAACGTTTTAATAATTTATTTTCTGTATTGTTTCTTATTTA